CAATGTACATCCTTACAAATACACATCTTAGTTACTTCTTAAACTAAATAATAAGCCTCCTTTTCCTTTTGTCTTTCAAGTGTAAAGTCCTGGTTAGATTAAGGGCACTGATGTAAAGGGCAACCAGTAGCCACTAACTATTACAAACAGGCAACCCATCAAATGTTCAAGAATCAAAGATCAGCTATTTATTTCACCTATTTACACATTTCACCTGGTTCACCTATTTACATGTTGTGTCTCCTCATTAGACTGTAAGCTTCTAGAGGACAGGGACTGTTTTGTTCTTGTGTCTGTATTCTTGGCACCTAACATAGCACCTTGAACACAATAGGTGTTTAACAAAAGCTATTTTTGAATTTCATTATTCAAAGCAGTTCAAGCGCCAGTCTAAGTGAAATTTGCCACTGGAAAGAAAGGATTTGGTAAGAAACACAAGGTGGGGTTGGAGGAGACATGGATAAAGGGAATAAGGAAAGGAGTGGTGACTTCTTAAAGAACAAGTGATAACTCTGTTCTTGTGTTGTTACTAATACAAGATAGTATAAAGTACTCCAAGTGAAAATAAACCAAACACTCAGTAACAAAAACAAAACAAGTATTTAATGAAGAGGAAGGAGGTGGCATTTATCTGTTATTCTCAGAAATGTACTTCTAAATATCACTGTTCATCAGAAGTGTCAAGTGTTGGTTCAAATAAATTGTTCGGGTGAAACGACAAATAAGGCATTGAATTCCTAACACTAACTAGTTATACGACTTTATAGTAAGTCTGTAAACTGACTTGGTTGAAGTTGGAGTGGATACTCTTTAAGGTTTTAAAGCTATAAAATCCTGAAACTATTATCTATAATCACTACTTACATACCTTTGTGAAGATAATGCCTCACTAAAATATTAACGAAATCAGTATCTGTTCTGAACAATTCAAAAGGAAACCAAGAGAGGAAGTCAATTCCTACTAAAGGACATAGATAAGAGTCTTGCCCTCCTCTTTTGAAAAATGAGTCATAGGGGAAAAAACCCTTAAATTTAAAGGAAAAAAATCAAATGCTTAGAATTTTCATTACTCTTCAGGTAATAAAAATATTAACCGATTTTTACATAAATTTTATTACTCTGAAAATAGACCGTAAAGCATAGTTGGGAAAGTATCCTTTTAAGATGCACGAGACCTAGAATTATCACATTGGATAGCCTTTGGGGGCAGAGGTTGGTCTTCATATATTTCATATAGGGATGGATAAAATGACATATGAATCCTTGTCTTCTGATCTAATTACCATCATCCCTGGACTGTTTGATTTTGTCCTTTTTTAGTCACGTAAGTATTTCTGTAGTAAAGTTTTATTTTTTGTAAATCAGATGACTTCCTTAGGAAGAATCAAGTAAACTATGAGAATGAAGTAAAGGAAGGAATTTATTAGTAAACCAATGGGAGTTACAAATCCTAAATTCTTTCAGAGAGAAATGAAATATAAACCTGAATAAAGTCCCCTACTTAGTCCTCTCTTTAAAATGCAAAATAGTATTTGTTTCAGTTTGGCATCTGAAAATTTATGTATACATATACAACTACATACAATATACACAGGCAACCCCAGCACAATCACATTTAGCTGGTAGTTTTAAAGGATAATCAACACAACTAAAGATCTTTTCTAATAAAACTCTGCAGGAAATGCTAACTCGAGTTCTCATACAGACTAAAGCATCTTTATTAAAACATCAATACACCTAGAAGTGGGGAGAAAGGAGAAAAGTGAGATGAGTAGATTGTTTTACTCATCCACTCGACATTAATCTGGGGGCCACAGAATCCTGAAACAATTTCACATCATATACCATGCACAGCTTGTAAGCCAAAACATTTTAGAGCTATTGCTAAGTAACAATAGGTTTAGCAAAGAGAGATATCACACATTTGTCTAATAAGCCTCTTGTCACACTGGGGCTCAAAAATCCCACATGTAGAGAGGTATGATAGACATTCAAAGCTTGTTTTATCATTTGTTAATGCAAACTAACTAATAACCACAGAAGAGACATCAGTGGACCTTCACCCTTAAATACTTTAAATACTTGATTTTAAGTCCATTGATAGCCCCAAGAGGAAAATAAGTGGAATTTTCAACTACATATTACCCAGTCTTTAACAAGGACTAAGTCCTTATAGCTCAGTCTCAAAAGTGCAACTGCATAAATAATGCCAATATGATTAACCAGCACATGATTACAGCTCCTGCTGTGACTCATGATTTAAATCAACCTTAAGTTAAATTTTGTAGTTTTTAATTTTGTTTATAGAAACCTAAATATCTTACAACTCTCTAGTCATCAGGCATTAGTGTTTTGACACAGAAAACTTTAATATCACAATTCATGCCTTCTACAGTTGGCCACATCTACCATTACTTTAAAAAAATATGCTGTGGATTTTTTAGTTGAAAATTTTACTCTCGAATTGAGTGTTCTTTTGCTAATACTGTATTCATATTGAGTGAGGTTCACTGATAAAGAACAAACTTCATGTTCCTGATTACTGAATATTTACAAAACACCTACAGACCTTCACAAATCATTTAAACGTTATAAAAATGACTAGTAAGCAATTTTAAAACCTGGCATTTCAGAATCACGTCATTCGACAGCTTTCTTTCAATTCACTTATATATCACCAAACAAACCCTCTTCTGTCTCACAGAGAGGAATAAGCTAAAAATAAACACATAAATCTACCTAAACCAAACAGAGAACAGCTGGCAAGTAAGTGATATGCATTACCACTGAAATCAAGATGGTGCCAACAGAAATCCAGGAGAACCCACCTATGGAAAAATAGGTAGGTGAATATAAAAATAAGCACTCTCTGCTTCTTTTCTGTTGTGCAATGAAATGAGTAAAAAAGACCAGAGTCAGACCCTAGTTCTCTTCCTGGCTCTGTGTGAAATGATTTCACACCTCTCTGGGTCTGTTTTCCCAGTTATAAAATAAAAGGTTGGGAATAAATGATTTCTATGATCCCTATTAGCCCTAATATTCAACTCTTTTAAGTCCATTCAAATTTCTATTTGAATGGCAAGAAATTGTATTGGTGTGAAGATCTCTAAGTAAAGCTTGTCTTTCAGTCAGCTGATATGGGAAGTAGAAGGTGCAGCTGTGTGGGCTGTCATCACTGGTAAATATCACAGCAGAAGTTAATTCAAATACAGGGGGTTAAAGTGAATTTCTGTAGGCCCCTTAGCTTTTTTTTAAATGCCTGACTATTCACAAATGAAAATGAATATGATACACAGGCACACTAATAAATCCACTTTAAAAAAATTCAAGAGTAATAAGAATTTTTTTAATCTCAAATTTTTCAAAGTTGAAAAAAGTATCAAGACAAACAATCTATCACAGAATGAATTAGTTTCACACTGTTTAAGTGAAAAGTCAGAACTAGATTGTTAACTATAACTTTCCTGAATAATTTTTATTGTAGGGTCTCATACTAAGCAACACAGAACATCCTAGGTTAAAGTGTAGGTTAAATCCTAACATAACCTGCTTCATACAAGGAGAGTATTAGATCACACGTTATACTATAAGGTAGTCCATTTATACACATTTAGACTCCAACATTTACAAAAATTTGGCATAGCTTAAAATATGAAGTGTAAAGATCTTTTGAAATGTAACATTTTTTAAAAAAGAAAAATGCATTTTCCAATTTGCTTATGCAACAGAAACAAGCAAATGTCTAGATTAGAAATTTAGGTCAGACATGCATTACAGTATCCTGGGAGAGAATGAGAAATTGACACTAACCCAATAGTATACTGTGTTACATAATATAGGATAGTAGTCAGCTAACATGATACCTAAATTATTCATACCAAATAATTCCCAGATTTGTTGTATAATGCCCAATGAGTTATACAATATGGCATTTTAACCTAATTTCTTGTATTTCCAAATGAATTTCCTAAATATCTCAAGAAAAAGAATTGGACAGATTCAGCAGTCCTAATACTGCATCATTAAGTAGACATCGATACTAAAACAGTCGCACCAATTTCCCCTCATATTGTCCTTTTGGTGTTTATTCCAATGCCTTATATCAGATGAACTCCACTGCACTGTTATATACAGTTTTAATGTGCTAAGAGATAATATTTAAATAACTAAAGACAAAATAATGAATCTGTTCCATAATTTTACAGACTACATTTCCAAATGTGGTTATTAGGGACCTGCCTGTCAGTTTTTATTTCTCCTCATTTTCCTTGATTCAATGGAACTTGAAGAGAGATAGCCACAAGTTAAGTCCTATTCACATGTTATTTGATTTACCAAACTCACATAAAATTAGAATTATCAAACCCACAGGTTTGTTTGGTTTTTTGGTAAGGAAAAAAAATGGCAATGGGCAGAGATCTCTCATTTAATATTGGACCCTCCTTCACGAGGCCATGTGAGATAATATACAGTGAATTTTTTCATTTCAAACAGGAATATATGAGGCTAAATTAGCTTGCTACTTTTTTCAACATGTAGATGCTTTCTTTTATGCTTACACTCCTCTATTTTTGTGCTAACAACTAAAAAAAATACAATTCCAAGTCTTTGTCACCCTGTCAACATCATCTTCCAAAGAACCATCCTATAAAGTATGTTTATCCATAAGCCCATATCTATCATCAACTAAACACACCCATTGCCATTTAATATTCAGAGAAAAAACAAAAATATCACCTCCAGTTTTTGCCATACCTCTAACCCCAAAATACAAGAGAAGAGATCAAGGAGACATATGTGCACTTCTTCATAGAAATGATTCTGTTTTCCCATGATGTAACTTCTTGAAAAATTTCCCTCATGTCCACAAAGGTCTAGCATCCCAAATACTTTCTGAAAGAATTTTAAAACCTGAGGTAAATAAAACACACAGGTGTGTGCATGTGCGCACGCACACACACATATTTACACATCTGATTTTTGTTTTGCAAAATGGCTTGGGAAGAAAAAAATACGCAAATTTTCTGCAGTAATAAATCTTTCCTTCCTTGTTATTTGTTTTATTGCTTTCTGTAGGGCTCTGCACTTTAACAAACATGTAACTTTAACTACAGGTAAAGACAAAAGGATAGTGCATGACAAATACATCACACATGAAACACCCCCCCCCATTTGCTCTGGAAAAACTATAGTCCATTTAACTTATTTTAATTTAGGTGCAATTCCAAAGGTATAAAAATGCCTTATCAACTAAATCAAGACTGAGTTCTTGTTTGAAACAGTTTCCATCTTGTTAAAAAAAAAAAGGAAACCAGCATTGCATACCTGTTACATTGATTCTCATGTTTATTCTACTTCTATACATAACATTGATTTTAATCTACTGCATTTAGAGATCACATCATATATACTTGTACAGTATAACATCTATGTAGAATATGTTTTAACATGATAAAATCATAAATTACAGTTCATTTAATAAATTATTATGGTGATGCATGCAATCTCCTTCCAAGCTGTGACCATCACTCAGTACAGTTTCCCCTGTATCTTGTTGAGAGGTCCTGCATTCTGCCTTTCAGGTCTATCTTCAGATAATTAAGTGGCTTACCCAGTGCACAGTGCCCTGCACCAATTGGTCAGTGTTGCCGTATACACCTCACTGTGATCCCATCACCAATACCTTCTCAACCCCTAAGTTGGCACACACGTGGAATTTCACTCTGCGGCCTTCCTCAGCCACAGGAGATCACAGTGAAGCGCTTAGAAATGCAAGACATGTTGTGGAGAACGATGCCGAGTAGGAAGACCAGGACACAGGCCACCAAGATCACAGTGCAAACCCCTGACCAGGTGGAGCTTTTCACTACGCCCCTCCTGTCTTGCTCCTCCTCCACCACCGCATCTTGGGGAATCCCCCCCTGCAGAGGCTGCTGTTCTGTCGGGATCGTCACCACAGTGACAGACTTTTGCTGGCTACCTGGCAACAGGCGGCAGCCAATGTCTCCCGGCAATAATGCTCGCTCCTTGGAGATGGGTAAGGGTAGCATGTAACACCCATTGCTAGGAAGTTTGATGAAGACAGGAGTGTGCTCCGAAGTGTGAGGGATTGCAATCACTGCAAGCACCTCAGGATCATCAGGGAGTTGGGAGACGGAGAACCCTGGGGGAAGCTTGGTGATACCCCGGCACCAGGGGCACCTCAGGTCCTTCTGGCTGGTCCTCATTTGCTGGAGGCAAACTGAGCAGCAGGTATGTTTGCAGTCTAACAACTTGGGCCTCCTTCGGGGACTGTAATAATTGAAACAAATCTGACATTCCAGCAAGGAATCTTGAGAAAGGGTCTCCATCATCACCTCAGAGCAGGGAGGGGCAGGCTCCAGGACCTTGTGGTTTCCTCCACAATCTAAAGTAGGGTGAGGCTCTGCTCAGGATACGCTCTTGCTCTTGGTGTCCTTCCAATGCAGGAAAGTGACCAGGAAGTTCATAGGCATCTAGGACATTTGGTCATGCCTGCAGGAAATACAGAACACAAATAAGTTAAGTGAAGACATCCACCCTAACTCAGGAAAAGAATGGGTATCTGTGCATATGTTTGTATATGCACTATTTCAAACCACCTGAGAATTCTTTTTCTCATCCAGAAATCTAAAAGGGGAGATTTATAGCGGCCAGACACCTCCCTCCACCTTCCACACTCAGAAAATCACTAGCTGTTTGCAATCTTAACCTTTTCTCCACAAAACCTTCAAGAGCATAAGTCTAAATTAAGTCTTGACAATGAATAAGGATTCTAAAAGCATTTCTACCCTTAAGACTATGGACTGCCTAGGATGTATGGCCAGTAATGTTAATGAAAGCTGCATGTATATACCAAAGCAATACTATGCTTCAAATAGGTTCCCAAAGAGAATGAGACTCATTTTTAAAGAAACAAATACTTCAGTAAGCTCCATCAGGTCCCTTCACTTCCTCAGGGAATGAACTTTTTTTTCGACATTTCTATGTTTTTAGAGGAATGCCAGTTGACTTTCCTGCTAGGACAAACCCTAGAGACATCCAATAACTGAAAACTTTTCCTTAATTCCTTCACTGTATAAACTCATCTATATTTTTTATCTTTTTTTTGTCTTCCTTGCCTCTCTCAGCCCCAATAATAACAACATATTCATTTAGCCCTTTTAATTTGCAAAGCACTTTACATATGTCTTATTTGAGCCTCACAACAATCTGGAGGAAGGTACTATTTGCATTTTTATCCCCATTTTACAGATGAGGAAACTGATGCTGAAAACCAAGGTTAAGTGATTTTTTTTGTACTCCCATGTTAAGTGTCTGAGTGTCAGAGATGGTTGGCATGCAAACACTCCTAAAGGATATTTTTCCCTGACTTCTGTGACCATCCTATCAATCAACCAACAAGTATTTATTAAGCACCCATGTGTCAGCAACTGCATCAGATGCCAGGATTACAGAGACAAAACTAAAACAGTTCTACCCTCAAGGAACTTACACTCTATCAAAATAATATATATATACATATATATATATACATATATATATATATATATATATATATATATATCGATGTAAATACAAAGAAAATTTGAGGGTAGAAGAAGGGATTGGCAGCTGGGGTGGGAGAGGTAACTACAAAAGATGTGATATTGAACTGAGCTTTGAAGAACTACGTGGTGAGGGAGAATTGCACTCAGGGATAGGATAGGAAATCACTTGTGCAAAAGTCAAGAGAGTGGAGATGAAAGGTGAGGAATGAAAAGGAACAGGCAACATGGTATATAATCTGGCAAGCAAACAATACACATTTATTAAGTGCTTATGTGCCAGGACAGTGGAAAAAGTGCTGGCTTTTGAATCAAGAGGATCTGGGATTCAAATCCTGACTCTTCCTACCCATGTGACCTTGAGCGAGTCTCAACCTCCCACGGTCTCAGATTAAATGTCTTCTAAGGTTCCCTCTAGCCCTGAATCTCTGATCTAAGCTACGACTGAATTTGAGTGCACGCATAAAGGAAAATAATATATAATATGCCTAAAAAGATAGACTGGGGCCAGACTGTGAAAGACCCAAAATGCCAAATAAAGGAAGGAATCTAAATTTGACCTAAAGTCACTAGTTTTTAAAGCAATGACTTTGGGGAATGACATGGGCAGACCTATGCTTTAGGAATATCACTTTCACAGCTGTATGGAAAATGAATTGCAGGAGGAAGAGACTTGAAGCAGGGGAACCACATGGGGGTTAAGTATACTAGTACAAGCAAGGGATAATGATGGCCTCAACTACATGACTGGCTAGAGAGAAGGGAATGGATGTTTGCTATGTTGTAGATAAAGGTAGAGTCAATGGGCCTTTGCAACTGGCTGAATGTGAAGGATAAGGGAAAGTGAGGAAGCAAGAATAACTCCAAGACTGCAAACCAAGATAACTAATTGGAAGACACTGAGGTTGCAAACTTGAAAGACCAGAAGTATAGAGACATTTCTCACAAAACTAAGGAAAATTAGGAAGAGTGGTAGAAAGGATGATAATCATATGAGCTGGGCAGGTTGAGTTTGAGACGTCTGCAGGACATCTAGTGTTGGTGACTTTCCCTCATAAATTCCTCTAATAGATTCTGATCATTTTCAAAGACTTTCTAATCTTACACATACAGCGTATATATAGAATATTTCTTATCCAAGTAGCTTAAAAGTTCCTTATATTAAGATTCTTGAAGACTCATGATGAAACATGTCATCCACCTCCTGACAGAGATGACTGACCAGACTGAAGAGCTGCGACGTTTCATTTTGATATGGTCAGCACAGAAATGTGTTTTGCTTAACTATACATGTTTGAGACCGAGACTTTGTTTTTATTTCTTTCTCAATGTGGGAGAGAGAGAAGGTGGATTTTCATTGACTAAAAAAAAAGTAAAATTTGGTTTTAACATTCCATAATAATAAAAAAACAATCAAACAGGATCATCCTTCCCTTCTATGCCATTACTCTGTCTGACCATGTCGTTTTTGAACCAAAGACACACCTGACCAAATACAGTTTTTAGCAATCAAACACTGATAAAGAGAAAGAAGATATAAACACTCTTAAAATGCTATTTGGCATTACAAGCTTAAGCTTTGGTAACCTCTTCATCTTTGTTCATCTCCTCCCTAGCTGCAAAAGTAAAACTTTTGCCAGGTATCATTAACTCACTGATCATTATCAACTATGAAAAAATGAAAACCTGGTTACATGCAAATGAACAAAACATGGACTTCCCCTTCTGGGAGCCAAGATGGCAGAGTGAAAAAGTAGCTGCTCTCACTGTCCCCTATCAACCTCTGAAAACCCAGAAAATATCACCCCAGAAAAAAACCCTGGAACACCTGAACTAGAGGAAGGATGAGGAGCAGCAGTGCAGCAGCCCAGAAAACTGGTCTCCCAGTGCCTCAGCAAAAATAAGGGAGGCAGAACTACAAGGGGCCCCAGGTAGATAAGTACCCTGCGGCATTCTGAAAGGAGGTGAAGAAAACAACCTAGAGGCTTCCTAAAGCCCTGGCCTTGCTGGTTCCAGCCCAACACCAGGTGAGCTGTAGGAGCCCTGAAGCCTCCAATTGTGAAGAAATCCTGAAGCACAGGTGGTAGAGCAGGCAAACAGCAACACCTGGACCTCCCAGTGCCTCAGTGGGGGGGGGGGGAATGGGTGGAAACCAGCTCAGAAAACGATCAGGTGCCTCGGCACTCTACCACAAAGGAATCTCCCAGTGCATTAGGAGAAACAAGGGAGACAACACTGCAGGGGACCCCAGGCAGATAAATACCCTACAGGACCCATCTAAAAGGAGCTGAAGAAAGCTAAAGGAAAGGAAAAGCAGGCAACCTAGAATTGCCTGAAAGTTCCAGCCTTGCTGATTCCAGCCCAACACAAGGTAAGCTGCCAGAAACCTACAGCCTCCAATTGCCAACATAAGAGGCCCCAGCACACAAAGCCAGTGACCAAGACCTAGGCTCCCAACACAAGAAGCTTGGGTCAGTGCCCTCTGTTCCCCAGCAGGAGAGCTCAATCTCTTTAAAGGCCAGGGAATAAAGAAACACCATGAGTAAAAAGAAACATACCATAGATTCATATTATGAGAAGAGTGAAGATCAAGACAGAAATTCTGAAGAGGACAACATTGTCAACAAACCCACATCTGCAACAACAAAAGGGAATATGAACTGGTCTGAAGCCCAAAAAGCCTTCTTAGAAGAGCTCAAGAAGGATTTTAAAGTCAAATGAGAGAGGTAGAAGAGTCCTTCAAAAATACAATTGGCCAATTGGAAAAAAAATACACTGAAGAAAACAAGTCCCTCAAAGCCACAATTGGAAAACCGAAGAAGGAAGGAAAAAAACTAACAGAAGAAAACAATCTGTTAAAAACTAGAACTGGACAAATGGAAACGAATGTCTCTATGAGAGAGCAAGAATCAGTCAAACAGAAACAAAAAAATGAAAAAATAGATGAAAATTAAAATACCTCATCAGTAAAACAACGACCTGGAAAATCGACTCAGGAGAGACAATTTAAAAATTATTGGACTACCTGAAAATCATGATGAAAAAAAGAGCCTGGACAGTATCTTTCAGGAAATCATAAAGGAAAACTGCCTGGAAGTCCTAGAACCAGAAGGGAAAATAACCATAGAAAGAATCCACGATCACCACCTGAAAGAGATCCCAAATTGACAATGCCAAGAAATATAATAGCAAAATTACAAAATTACCAGATGAAAGAGAAAGTGCTGCAAGCAGCCAGAAAGAAACAATTTAAATATCATGGAACCACAGTCAGGATTACACAGGACCTTGCAGCTTCTACATTAAAAGACCTCAGGGCATGGAACATGATATTCCATAAGGCAAAGGAGCTTGGAATGCAGCCAAGGATCAATTACCCAGCAAAAATGAGCATCATTTTTCAAGGGAGGAGGTGGATATTCAACGAAATAGGAGACTTCCAAACTTTCCTGATAAAAAGACCAGAGCTCAACAAAAAATTTGATCTTCAAAGGACTTCAAAGGTAAATGGGACAGAAAGATACAATATGTTGTTAATAAGGGGGCGGGGCACTGTTTAAACCCCTACAAGGGAATATGAGACTTGCAACCCTTGAGAACTGTATTGTTATTACACCTTGTTAAAGGAGTATACATAAAGAGGGTGGATATTAGTTGACTTTGATGTAATGATAAAAAAAAATCTAATCAAGTGGGTTAAATGGATCCAAATAAGTGGATCAATCTATCTTTAGAAAATGTACTGAGAAAGGAGGAGGCAGACAAGGGTAAATTACATTACAGGAAAAGACACAAAATCCTATTACAGCAGAAGGGGGTGGGTAAGCATTTTTTGAGCCTTACTCTCATCAGATTTGGCTCAAGAAGGGCATAACATAATCAGTTAGGTATAGAAATCTAACTTGCCCTATAGGCAGTAGGAGGGAAAAGGGGAAAGAAAAGGGGGGG